GTTTTAAAAAATAACCTAACCTCGATTGTTTAAAGACTTTATTTGACACATAAAATTCCAAATAGAAAATGAAAAAATGCGTGAATTAAAGGAAAATACCTCAATCATAGCTTATACATGTGTGAATCTAATTTTATATAAGATTGTCGAATGTTTTCATATTGTATAAAATAATCCGCAGCGTAGCGCGGGTGTTTATCTAGTTTTAACAATTCCAAACGATATCCAACTGGTGGTGATAAGTTTTATAATGCCGTTGATAAAAAAAAACGATATCCAATACTATAGTCTTAGCAAAATCAGTTTTATTGAAAAATAAATTATTAACAATTTTACTCATCACAACTTTCATAATCTTAAGTATATACATGAGATTCTGATTTGTTTTACAACATATTTCATTGAATACAAATGCAAAATTTATTATTAACTTCTTTACAAATTACAAATCTCTAAATTTTTAAAACCAACAAACTCTATCTAAATTCTATTTAAAATATGTTCGAGTATCTTTTGGACTCGTATTCACTATCTTCCTAGGTTATAGGAAACACAACGTTTATAATGCCTTATCGAAATTTCATAAATCAAGAGAGTGGAGTTCTTTTTTTCTTCAAATACGATTCTTTGACCAGAAAATATATAGACTATTGTAAAGAGGTGATATATATTTTAATGTAGGAAAAAAATAGACAAAAATAAAACTTGGTAGACTAATAAGAGAAAATAAAAGAAGATGAAGAAAAACTATAGAAACCTAAGTTAATAATCTAAACAATATTTAGTAAAACTAAAGGTGTGAAAGAGGATTGGCATATAATCTTGTTCTCATGGCTTCGGGTGAGATTTTGACATCTTACATCAAAGTGTCCAGCTTCATCACCATCTACGTAACGCTTATGCTTCCCTCTGAGTTTGACATCAAGCTCTTCCGAAACGACGTTGTTTTCGGCAACAAAAGCCAAGGACAAAGCCGTGACATCTCTAGACTCACGTCTATGAGAAATGTTTAAAACGGCGACGTTTAGAGGACCGAGCCTCACGGAAGCGTCATCACCGCCGTAGTAAATAGAATATCTCGAGCTCGGGTTTTTCACGAGGAACTCGACGTGCCACGTGGCGACGTCGGAGGGAGAAACGTTGATGGATTGGATGGAGAATTTGGCGTGTGGGAGAGTTTTGTCGAGGACTAATAAGAAAATGCAGAAGACGGCGACCACGGTGAATAAGCCGCTGCAACATGGTATAATGTCAGCCAACTCCTCCGTGCAAGTGGGTTCACGATCATTAGATGCCGGATAAGTCACTATTGGTCGTGTCCACCACCGACGAAGAGCGGGGGAGGACGATGGCTCTGGATATCCGGTAACTATTTCTGGCACCGCATAAGAATTTGTTTGAGAAGCCATATTTTCTCTGTCTTGTGTTTTTGTGTGTGAGAGAGCATAGATAGAAGAATGATAGTTGATGTTGTTATCTTATTATTATTAATAATTATATAGAGAT